CACCGCAACAGTAACTTGCTCCAGGCTCACTTTGCTCTAGTGTCTAGGACAGTGGTCAGCAAACTGTGGCTCACGAGCCACATTTGGCTCTTTGGCCCCTTGAGTGTGGGTCTTCCACAAAATACCAACTTCTGCACATGGGCCATAAAGTTTCAGTCGCACTGTACAAGCGCGCCTGTATGTGGTATTTTGTGGAAGAGCCACACTCAAGGGGCCAAAGAGCCGCATGTGTCTTGCGAGCTGCAGTTTGCCAACCACTGGTCTAGGAGATCTGTCTGCCATCAGAACTATGATTCCCAGCATTCCTGGTGCTCCCCGCGCTCTGGGCTTCTGCTTTGAGTCCTGGGGCTGGCACCAGAACTACTATTCCCAGAATTCCTGGTGCTCCCCATGCTCTGTCTCCATCCCACAGCCTCCCACTCTGCCAAGTCCTCCAACCCGCCAGCTCTCCCTCTCTGCTCTCCATCTGGCAGCTTGGGGAGCCAAGTTCCCCAAGTTGCTCCACTCTCTGCTGGCTCTTCCACTCTGCTCTCCGCCTGGAGGCTTGCGGGGAGCGACTGAGGGGGCCACGTCCCCCCAAGCCACTGGCTCCCCCGCTCTGCTCTCCGCACAGTGCCTGTGTATGCAAATTAACCCACTATCTTTGTTGGGTTAATTTGCATACTCAGTCCTGATTGGCTGGTGAGTGTAGCGGAGGGATGGGCAATTTACATGTTTCTTTTTTATTATATAGGATACTAGTGTCCCAGTGCACAGATTCATGCACATTAAAAGGAAATTAATTAGAAGATATATTTTAATATCGCTATTCACCCTTTCTCTATAATAAAAGTGTCAACCAAATTCATGATCAACAATGACAGATCAAAACACATGTGTGCAATTGATGCCAGTGAGAGCTTTATATATGAAAATAAACTTGCTTAATTAGACCTGCTTTCTGATTTAGCTAAACTTTTTCCAGCCCAGTGAAGCACCCCAACTTCAGGTAATGGTCAGTAACACAGCAGTAAATATCAACACAAAGCACAATATTATTGTAGATTACACAGTGAGAACAAAGGGTGAAATATTTAACTGCAGCAGTGTTTGACTATATTTTGTGCAGTGAGAAAACCTGAAGTCATTTTCAAGATCCACCATTTCTTACTTCTTATAAGTTGGGTCAAGTTTCTAAACTTTCTAAATCTCTGTTTTCTGGCTAATGAAAATAGGTTTCCACCAAGTCTCCTATCTCCCTACTCCAGGACTTCTGTGAGGATCAAATGAGATGAGGCACATGAAAACACTTCACAAACACTTGGTTAAATTGTAAAATGTTTGCACCTGACTATAAAGCAAGTTGGGTTCTTGGGCTGAAGAAACTCCAAGGAGGCTAGTTGCTAGGGAGAGGAAGCTGGGCATTGCTACATGATGTCATTACCCAGCACCCAAAGCAACCGTTTCTGGGCAAGGCTGGGCTGTGGACCACATTTTGTACCATAGGGTCTCAGCAGCATCAGCTGCAATTTGGTGGGGTGTCGCTCCAGGGTGGTGGTGGTGGGGCCTGTGTCCCACTTGGGGGAAGCCGAGTGTTGGTTTGTTGGTGCCAGGTCTGTGGTGCCATTTATTCTTAAATGGCCAGTGCACATCATGGCAGCTCCTGCACTGAACATCTTCCCCCTGGTGGCTAGTGCTCATCATAGCTACCAGTCGGACGGACGGACATTTAGCCTTTTATATACCTACTAGAGTCCGAGTGCATGAATTCGTGCACAGGTGGAGTCCCTCCTGGCCAATCAGGGCCGTCTTGCCCAGTCCTGATCGGAACTGGCTGGGGGAAGGGACTGTGGGAGGTTAGCTGGCAGCAGGAGGTTGGCTGTGGGAGCGCACTGACCACCAGGGGGCAGCTCCTGCGTTGAGCATCTGCCCCCTGGTGGTCAGTGTGCGCCATAACTACCAGCCAGTTGTCCAATGGTCCGGTAGTCTGGTCATAATGGTCACTTAGTATATATATATACTAAGACTAGATAGTATTTTTCCTGTGAATTCTTATATTAATCAGGATATGCTGTATTATGCTGTAGTAAGAACTTCCGCAAAATCTTAGTGGCTTATGCTGATAAAGATTTATTTTTCACTCACACTGTATACATTGCATACAGACTGGAGTCTCTATTAGTGTAGAAACTCAGACACCCATGCCAAAGAATATTTCATCTCATTCACAATAATCACTGCCTCAGGCAAAGAGAATTCAATGAATTGAGTATTGGCTTTTAAATCTTCATCTCAAAAAAACAAAATATTATTTCAATTCAAATTTTATTATTTTATTGCACAGTGCAAACCACATGGCCATACTTATCTCAAAGACATTAGTGGTTTTCAGTCCTATCATGTACCTTGGAAGGATAAATAGGTGAATATTTCTGAACAGCCTAATTGATTACCACACTCTCCCTAGGAAAGCCCTGTATAATGTAATGACTATGTTGACATAGTAAATGCAGATAGGGTTGAGCAAGGGCATAAAGATAAAGCACAATATGGTAAAAAAAAAAAAGGTGCTAAAGGTGACCAGGAAAATTTAGTGCTAATACATAGCTCTTTGCTGGTCTACCTTAACTAAAGAATATGTCTCAGATTTCTCTAAAGCAACGGTTCTCAACCTGTGGGTCGCGACCCCTTTGGGAGTCGAACGACCCTTTCACAGGGGTTGCCTAAGACCATCGGAAAACACATATATAATTACGTATTGTTTTTGTGATTAATCACTATGCTTTAATTATGTTCAATTTGTAACAATGAAAATACATCCTGCATATCAGATATTTACATTACGATTCATAACAGTAGCAAAATTACAGTTATGAAGTAGCAACGAAAATAATTTTATGGTTGGGGGTCACCACAACATGAGGAACTGTATAAAAAATTCATAACAGTAGTAGCAAAATTGTTATGAAGTAGCAACAAAAATAACTTTATGGTTGGGTGTCACCACAACATGAGGAACTGTATTCAAGGGTCACGGCATTAGGAAGGTTGAGAACCACTGCCCTAAAGGAATAGATAAAACTTAATCAGTTCTCAATATTTTCAATATTTTTTCTCAACAAAGCTTTTATACGTATGAAGTAATAGTGAGTTTGAATTTATACTCCTTAAAAAATAATATTAATAACAATATTGATTAACATGTAACCTTTACAATGTGCCAGGCACTATGATTTGCATATATGCTCTTATTTTTATGCAGTTAACAAGTATATAAGGTAACTATTATCATCTTCCAATTTTATTTGAAGAAACTGAAGCTTAAAGAAATTCATTTGCCCAAGGTCATGTCATCTACAAATGGCAGAGCTGGCGTTTAAATCTGTTTCCATCTGACTCCAAGCCTTACGTGCTTAACTCATACACGACTCTGCATCAGGGTGTAGATTACATTCACATGTGTGTGCTTTAAACTGTTATCTTTCCAGTATTTCTTTATAAAAATGAGAGCAAATATAAAATATGCTTATTTCCTCTCTTTTACTGTATACTAAAGGTGGCATACTGTATAAGTGAATTAAATAATACACTCTATACCAGTGATGGCGAACCTTTTGAGCTCGGCGTGTCAGCATTTTGAAAAACCCTAACTTAACTCTGGTGCCGTGTCACATATAGAAATTTTTTGATATTTGCAACCATAGTAAAACAAAGACTTATATTTTTGATATTTATTTTATATATTTAAATGCCATTTAACAAAGAAAATCAACCAAAAAAATGAGTTCTTGTGTCACCTCTGACACGCGTGTCATAGGTTCGCCATCACTGCTCTATACAGTGTTCTGCACCTTGCTTCATTTAATGCTATGACTTTCAGGTCTCTACATCAGTATGGGGATTTTCCTCATTGTTTTTTTACAACTGAATAGTATTCCTTCAAATGGAGGTGCCTTAGTTTATTCAACCACAACTTTATTGCTAAATACATGGGTTGTTTATCATCTCCAAATTTTCAAGTTATGCCACAAATCAATAAACTTATACCTATGATCTTTCCTACTTATGTAACAGGTTGTGTAGTAAATAGTCTTAGGAGAGAAATCACCGGATCAAAGCGAAAATATGTAATTTTGGTAGATATTGTCGGATTCCTCTTCATACGTTCTATGCTTTTAAGCAGGTTTTAAAGAAAAGAAATTATGTGGTTTACTACTTTTCTTGCCAATTTTAACTCCAACTCAATCTAATGTTGGTTCCACTCAAAATTTTAAAATGCAGATTCCTTGCTAACCAATCATTTAACCTCTGCCAGAGATAAATCCCCACTTGCCTCTAGTATTTCAGGCTAATATTTAAAATATTCTCATGTATAATGTTAAAAATCAATTCCAGTGACTTTCCTCAACACCTCAAAGGTGTCTCATCAACATCACAGCCTCTAGATCTAACTGGTCTACCCGGTAACTGATAATAATGAGTGTCAGAATGTAGCATAAGCCTCTTAGAGCACCTGTTTGCTCTGCTCTGTGTTAAGATATCTGAATAACCAGCTTTTAGGCTGACTGACATAGCTGATTAAATCGTACAGTTCTGTTTTTTAAGACATGGCAAGATTCCCTAGATATCCTCATGTGCACTCATGCTGGTTGCAAGGAGAAATTGCCAGATAAGGGTATGTAGTCAGTATGTGGAAAAGGTGGACTCTAGGACCAAGCCTCCTATTACATTTAACGAGAGGGTCATGAAAAGAGCTCTGGACTCAGAAGCAAAAGACCTAGACCTGTATCTTCTCCATGTATTCTTAATAAATGGTAGCTTAGAGCAAGTCATGAGAAAATAAAATGCAATGTTCATTTTCTCTGATGAGGGCAAGCTATAACAATATCCTAAACTTCTCCCATCCTTCTTTGCCTCTGTCCACGTTTAGAGTGAATCGCTAAGAGAAAGAAGGGGCATCATGTCTTTTTGTCAAGAAAAAAAACCCAGAATTTTAAAAAATATTTTATTTTCTATTTTAGCTATAGACTTCAATATGACGAAAATTTTTAAGATCCCATCAGGATATACATTATCTACATCCAAGGAAGAAATATCAAAACCATCAGCAAAGGTTTGGAATAGAGTGATTATTTTTTTTAAGTTCTTACTTCTACAATTAGCAATATAATTAGTTGAACAGCTTCACATAGACATGTTGAATATTTCATTCTTGGTATATATCTTAGGAAAAAATAATGATCAAAGTGATTTATTGGAAAGTTAATCTAATAAAAAAACTCTTGTTTTGTTTTTCCTTTAAAAATCCTCCTGTGTAATAAGAAAAGACATGGTATTTACTTTTTCTCTCATTTCTGGCACTACTTCTCTCTGGATTAACATATAAACGTGACTGTGATCTCAATAAGCATCAGTCAAAGTTGCAGGGAAAATGTCAAAGGAGTTTTTAGTAATGGTTGGCCTGTCCCCACCTCTTAAGCCAGGGTCTTGGAATAACTGAGTACATACATGTAGACACTGTTATGTTAAGTCTAAAATGCTATGTTTCTCCACTTTCCTGAAGGTGCCTCCAAAATAAAGATCCTATGGACTTGCTACCTTGTGATGCTTTAGCAAGATTTGATGAGGTTATTGGCTTAAAATTCTGAATTTGATCTCTTGTTAGATTTTAAATTTGTTGAAGTCTCTATTGCTAAAATTTCTCTGAATTATCTAGTCAAGTCTGGCCATTATTTTAAATTTTAAACTATGCCTGTATAAAAGCCACTTTCTGAAAGTCAGTATACATATTTCCTGGTCTCTAATAATCCAGGTGTATAGAATCTCTTCCAACCTTCACAGTGCTACAAAGTGTGGTTTGTAAGTACTTAGCATAGAAAGTGGTGATCTCTAGGAGTCAATTTGGGATCCATGACAATATCACACCTTTTTTGGTGGCAGGAGGAGATCACTAGATTTAGAAATCAAGGAAATATAACAGAAATTGTGTATCTGATCTTCAGCAAACACTAAAAATGGTCTTGCTTACAAGTTGAAGAAATCTGGACAGATGGATGTGTGACTGTACAACCTTTTCAAGATAACACTATTAAAAGCTAGAAAGCAAATATTGTAGGTACATCTTATTGCATTATTGGTCCTGTCCCATGCAGACTACTTTATCAACAACTTGGATAAAAATATGGTTGCCATTTTATGAGATATGTAGAAGTCATACATGTAGAAGAATTATTAATACATTGGATGACAGGCTAGAGTAAAAGGCCTGATCTTAGAAAATAAACTTTTAATGTGGAAAAATAGGGATCCAAAATTACAACTGCTGAGGTACAGTATAATAAGGCCTTGGCTTAGGGGCATCTGAAAAGGCTTGGGAATTATTTTTAACAGTAAGATCTGTATGTGTCAATAGGAGGATGTTGTTGACTCCCAAATCTACTCTATTCTTGGCTATTGAAATAGATACATGGGTTTTACTCTATGCTGATTTGACAATAATTGTGTATTATACTCATTTTGGAGAGCTTCATTATAAAAGAATCTAGACCAAGCATGTCAAACTCAAAGGCTAACACGGGCCAAACAAACAAGGTTTAAGTTTATGTGGCCGCAAAAAAAAAAAAAAGCTTCAATTTTCATAGAAATGTAGGTTTATTTTGATGGAGATATGCTGAATACAAAGGGCTGAAATAAATGAGTAATCATCAACATAAAATAATAGAACATTTTAATAAAAATTAATATTTTTCTTGAACATTAACTTACCAGACACTGAATAGCTGCACAAATTAATAAGTATAACACAAATAAACCTATTTTTCTTGTTCTCCGAAAGTGAAATATTTCCTATTGAATACACCAAACAAGTCAGTACAAGACTAATGACGTGGCAATCGGCTGCTAAAATATTCAATGCTAGTATTAGTGGAGAGAAATGGTGCGCCTGTGTGTAAGGCATGTAAGGGAAATGAATGCAACACGATTATAGTAATCAGTCATTAGTGAAAGTTGTAGTTCATTATTAATAATTATGTATAACAGGATATTGTAAAAATTAAGCTGTGAAATTTCTATTAAAATGTTTCCTACATACAGTTATATTGGCTGGGCCACAAAAATATTTGTTGTGGGCTGCATGCAGCCCACGGGCTGCGAGTTTGATATGCCAGGTGTAGACAATCTGAAGCATTCTGAACATAATATAACCAGAATGATGAAGGATTCCAAAACCATATTATTTGGGGAATGGTCAAAATATTTAAAGACATTTCTACTAGAAAAGAAAAACCCTGGCAACCTTATTAACTGTTTTCAAATAGAGAGCTACTGTAGGAAAGCAAGATTAGACTTTTTCTGTGTGGCTCAAAAAAAAATATTTTTACCAATACAAAGCAAAACATTTTTTACTTTTACCAATAAGTGAAAGCTATAGGAAGACAGTTTTCAACATAAAGAAGAGGCTGCTTTTTTTTTTTAAGCACCGGGGTTGTCCAAGTGATGAATGGGTCCCTGTTGGTTTCAAATTCTCACAAGAGCATTGGCAGGACACATATTAAAACACCAAAAATCAAAGTTTAGTTTTACAATCATTATCAGCAATTATCCTGTAATAAATTAACAGAAAACTTCAGCACCAAAACCATTTCTTAGACTTTCTGGTTCACCCCTGGTGATCCTTCCAAAGTTTATAGGATTGCTTGCTTCTTCAAAATTAGTACCAAGTTGTTCTTTGACGATGAAAGCCCTGTTTATGGAATCAAAGTTCTCTGACAATTTTCTGTTAGATCTTTTGTGGAGTGAATAAAAGCAGTGGGACTTCTGTTAGTTGTTTTGGCTATTTTGTATATGTCTAACAAGAGTTCTTTGGGCAACATGGGACCTTCTGATATAAAGTATCTAAGAAAATGGCTAAGGCTCAACAAAACACTGATTTTGCATTTAATACCTAGTTCGGCTCTTGCCTGGTTCAACTATCCTTAAAAAATCAGGGATCCTCACAGCAGAAGAAGGAGCTATAAAGTGTAGTTTTTGTAAGTTGAAAACTGGTAACTGAAGGAAAAAATAACAGAAATGTCTATTTGTAGTATTTCAGTAAGATAGAGTTTTTATCTTACAATACACAAGATAGAAGCCTGGAAAGGGGTCATAAAATGATCTTTTGATACAGGCAATTTTTCTTTTTAATCTAAATAAAGGTTGGCTTGGTTTTGCATGTAATTTAAAAATCAGACTAGATATAACCTGATGTAAATTGTCATGGATTAAGGTGAAGGAAATGATTTACATCATAGGAAATATATCTGATATTGATATTTAATTTTCACCATCAAAGAATTGCTTTTGATTCTCATAGTTCCACTTTTAAAAATAATTCTGGAGCAACTAGGAATAAATACAATTAAAAATAACCATAAGCAAAAGAAATACAAGAGAATTTTATGTATCAGTAAAAGCACATAAGAATAAAATCTTATTTCCCCACAGGAAATGAAATCAATAATAAATCTCTCTTCTAGGCCTTATAAATATTGAGAAAAGACAACATATGAATAGTTGCTATACTGACCTTGTTTCCCACAAGGAGTCAATCTTGAAGCAATTATATTTATGATTGTTGTTTCATTGACATAGAATTCGTGGTCAACATTTTTTTCCACCAACACTTTGATTGTTATCCAACTGCCTCTGATGTCCTTTGTTCTAATGAGAAGTCAGCTGTTAATCTTATTAAGAATCCCATATATACTGTTTTTCTCTTGATGTTTTTTGAGATTTTTCTTTTTTGTCTTTGTCTTTCAACACTTTGACTATGATACGTCTAGGTGTGAATTTATCCTACTTGAAGTTAAGCTCCTTGGGAAGTTTCATTCATTATTTCTTTATCTATTTTCCCCCTTTTCTAGGCCTCTGTTCCTTTTCTTCATTCTTTTTATTTCTATTCTTCAGAAAAAATAATCTCTATTGACCTATTTCAAGCTTGCAAAAGGCTAGGTGGGCTTTACTGCATATACTCATAGATTCATACATTAGTAAATTTCTTTAATTAAGAAGATGCTTTGAAGTATTTACTTTTATTTATTCTAATATACTAGATGGTAGTTTTATTCAAGTTATAATGCAGTTATAATTTATTTACAATTCTTTAAGAACACACCAAATTAATAACTGACTTTATTTTTTCTTCCCCTCACAGTCCCATTATAATAGTCCTGGTCCAGAGTTTAGCCGTGTGCTCTTCAATATTGGAGGTCACAGTCCACTGATTTTATATTATCTTAAGATGCATGAGCTAACAGGTATTTACAACACCCTTAGGCGACCCAAGATTAGGATCACTGAAATATCAAAAGAACCATATCCTTTTTTAAGCTTTTTAAAAATACTATCTATTTCTAAAATATTCAAAATGTTTTCCTAAATGTCTTAATTAAGAAAAAATAATGCATTTTTAACCAAAGCTTTTACTTAGCATTTAATTATGTTCAAAACTTTTGTAGCATGTTTGGTTAAAGTATTTTCTCTTTTAGATCTAAGGCTATGAGTTTTCATGCAACAAAAATAAGTCAAACACAAAACCTAGGAACTTTAGAAACTGATATAGTTAGCTCTTTAGTAACAGACTATCTTTGCAACTTACTGTTCAGTGTTCAGTTTCAAACATTTGTCAGAACCATGAGAAATGGGCTTCTAGGCATCTCCAGAAGAGAGTTTTAAACATGTTTTAGCTGTGGCATCCTTTGTTCCATAGAAAATGTATCAAAAAGCTTAATGTGTAAAATATAAAATAAGTGAAATTGGAACTCTTTGCTTACAGCAGGGGTGAGGGGCCAGAGTTCTATTTACACTCCTGTGTTCCCTCTATATAACCCATCCTGGCCCAGGCCTGTCTGGGGACACGCAGATGAAGCCCCAGGGGATCTAATAGTGTGCCCTCCAAACTGGAACATACACAGCTCTCACTGGAAAAAAAAAAAGATATCAAGAGTCTTGTTTACATGTATTTCTATCTTGAAAAACAAAAAAGAAGTTGCATTTCACTAGTATTTAGTAAACAGGTACCCTCACTCAGCTGATATTTCAGTCTGCACTTAACCATGCTGATGAATAATGATGGCATCTTTGCTCTTGTGTAATTTTCTGAGCATCACAACATAGTGCTGTTTCCTTTGGGGAGGTTAAGCAGATTTATAGATTATATCATCTAGCTTAACTAAATTAACAACTCACTAGTGAAACAATAGTTTTAAAAGATTTCTGGAAAGAACTGTAGATTGATGATAATATTTATGATGCAAGGATAAATTAGATTCCACATATAAACTAAGAAACAAAATAGAAAACAGACTCATAGCTGTCAGAGGAGAGGAGAGGTGGGGACTGGGTGAAAAGGTAAAAAGATTTAAGCAAAAAACAAAACAAAACAAAACAAAAACAACTCATAGACAGACAACAGTATGGTCACTACCAGAGAGAAATGGGGGTGGGGGAGGTGGAGAGGATAAAGGGGGGTAAATGGTGATGGAAAGTGACATGATTTTGGGAGGTAAACACACAATACAATATACAGATGATGTATGTAGAATTGTACACCTGAAACCAATATCATTTTATTAACCACTAGAACCCCAATAAATTCTATTTTAAATTTTATAAATTTTATAAAAAAGAAATGGCAGAACAATATTTCTCCTCCTCCTTGAAGGAGTGCATTTTCAGCCACATTAAGAGATGAAATTAATGGTGGCCCATTTAGTTCTACCCAGATGTCAACCAAAAATATAAAAATAAAAATCTTCAAAAACACTATTTGAAATATGGATATACATCTATATATCATTTTATAAACAATGAATCTAACCCTAAATGTATGTTAAATGATAGTATGCCAGTTTAATTTACAAGGCATTTGTAAACCAACTATCTAGATATCAACACAAATCTCTCTAATTTGAGGACTAAAGGTTTGGTGTACCATTAATAAACATTAAATTTTATTTTTTTAAAATTTCATCTCACTGTTTTCTATTTCTACACTGTATATTTTTATAATGAGCATAATATATTATTACAGATTGATGTGTATATAATTTATACATTTAAAATTATACCTATATGGGAGTGTGCTCATGTAGCTTTTACTCATGGGGTACATGATCAGAAAAATGTAGAGACCACTGCTCTAGCAGACCTCAAACCTCTTCCCAGGTCACTTCTTCTCCCACATTTCAATCAAGACAACCTCTAGCCTCACTGACCACAGGCACATGGAATTAACTTGGGTGGCTCTGGAACACAAAAAGAAAGGCAAACTATAATGCTAAATCAGTGTGTTTTAAACTTGTCAGTTAAATAATGGAACAAGGATTCTCATCAACCTTGAATTATGTCTAAAACAAAAGTTTTAAACCTCTAGAAGTGAAATTTTTAAGGTATCAAACAACTTTCATAGTGGATTAATTTTATTTTTAACTAATTTTTATTTTGCTTGTAAAAATGTTAATCTTTGTATTTATATTTCTGATGAGTATGAATTTATTCAATGGCCATGTAAGAATTCATATCACCAGTTTCCTGAGAATGTGGGAAAAATGTGAGTATGAGTGGGGGTGGGGAAAGGAGAAGGTGGAGATCTAAAGCATAAAACCTGTTAGGATTATGTCTCATTTAATAAAAAAATTGAAATAAGTCACCCATTGGAAAGTAATGGGTCTTTCCACGATGCTTATGGAGCTTGTAAAATATAATACCCAATGAGAAGAAAACATGTTCCTAGAGCTAATGATGAACAGAATTATAATGATGCCTCACATTCATCAACACTGGGCAATTTTTTCAAGCGTGTGTTGAATTCCCCTATGTATTATCACAGGAATGGCAAGCGTCCTGTGACAGTGGGCAGGCGCCCATCACAGCCACTTCACAGATGAGGAAACTAAAGCACAAGGAGAGTAAGTGGCTTACTGCACAAATTTGCCTCTATAGCCCTGACACTTGAAAACAAGTGTGTAGCATACAACAGTTGTCAAACAAATGCTAATGAGTGGGTATAGCATGGTTTTATATAAAGACTAGAGGCCTGATGCACATAAATTTGTGCACTCGGGAGGGTCCCTCAGCCTGGCCTGTGCCCTCTGGCAGTCTGGGACCCCTTGGGGAATGTCCACCTGCTGGCTTAGGCCCGCTCCCTGGGGGATCAGGCTTAAGCTGGCAGTCAGACACCCCTCTGGCAGCCCTGGAGCCCTCGGGGGATGTCCACTTGCCAGC